TCAGACACGTATGAGAGCCCATCAGAACATGCTGATGTGCTTGCAGGCTTCTTGCCATGCTAATACCTGTTACTGTCATCTGTCATGCCAAACACCATCCTCTGAGACCAGGCCCCTTGGTCCTCAGTGGGAGCGGGGAGAGGAGCATATCCAATCCACTGCTGTAATCTGAACCTCATGTACTTGTTCTGCAGCTGAGAAAACAGGTGTACTGCCAGCAGTGTGGGTGCTGGTTGCTAATTACTAGTCACTGTAGTTGAAAGGGACGTTCTGGATGTGCCCTTTGTCCTGTCATATACTCCAGTGCTGCAAGTGTTAACATCCCATTGGTCCTTGCTGGAAAAAGCTTACCTAGTTTGTAAAAGAGTTGGTATTAAGCTGTTGCTCTAAGATGCCCAAAAGAAGGAAAGTCTCAGAGCTCCTCAACCCGAGAAGGTCCCCCTGACCACTCTCTGGTCAGGGGCATTTAAAATGATGGAAAAACCCCTTTGAATGAGTGCTTGCTTCCTGACCCAGAATTCACTGGCTTGTCAGGCCTCACCCCAGAGTGTTTGTCCAAAGTGGGTATGCTCCACCACAGATGTCCACTTTCTCTTCACCCTTCAGTTTCTGAAGCTAATACTAAAATGGAAACTTTGGAATTAACATGTGTCCTGAATAACATGATCATTATAGAACATGATGTCCTGAATAACACGACTTTGGTTGTGAGGTGTGCTCTCACTCTCCGTTGTCAGGTGGGTCCTTTGGAACAGGGCACTTCTTATCAAAAGGTTTCAAGAGTTTGAGTTGCCCTGGACTCTCAATATATTTAGTTGAGGTCTTTTTATTCTAGGTGGGGTGGTGCTATACATGGTGTCTGAATGCTGCATTAAGTTCCTTTAGGTCCGTGTTCACTTACATGGAATAACCTTGGCAAGCCAAGACCAGAACATGTTTGTGGTATCACTCACCTACACATGGGCGTGTCTCTATGCTGCTCTGTACAAAGTCATGATGAAGATGTCCCTCTTTCTGAGCCAGACCTGAGGAACATGGCCTCTGACCCTTTCTCTCGTGGGAAGCTCTGTGATGAGCCTCGAGGACCTTACCACAACCTATGTCTGCCACAGAGTGGGTCAGAGAGTTTCAACCCATATTTCACTCCTTTCTGATCAGTGTGCACAAAGTACACAAAGAATGAGCAATGCTTCATCCTTCATTGTGCATCTGTGGCAGAAAGACATCTGCTAGGATTTGTGGAGGAATTGCCCACTGGTCACAGGAAGTGCCATAAAGAGAGCATGGACTGTCCCAGGTGTCCCACGGCTTGTTTGATAGGAACTTGTGCATTGTTGAGGATGTGTGAGTAAAGCCCAGTTTGGCTCTTGAAGCTGTAGTCACATGTCCAAAGCAGGCTTTTATGGGGGAAAAAAATGAAGCACAGAATTTTACAGTTAAACTGTGTTCATTGGCTCAGTAATCATGGACAGCCTTGAAGCTGCTTCCTACATGGTGGCTCCTTTCCTCTTTCCCCTAGAAACTAATTTTTTCTCAGACTTGGAACTTCATTTCAAGGCTCTGCAGATGCATCATACTAATAAATGTCACATTATCCCATCTCTTCTGACAGAGACGTGAGCAGGCACCTGATAAAACCTGATGAGGGAGGAAAAGCAAAGCTATGAAAAAGCAGGCTGGCACATAACCCAGGTTCAGCGAGAACAAATCTTGAATGAGAGAAGGGTTCTGTGCCATGCCCTTAGGTACAGACTTTGGGTCAGGGGCAGTTGAGCTGCACGTATTCAAGCAACAAGGGCAAATGTAAATAGTGTTTGCAGCTATTCTTGGGTCACTCAAACAAGGGCTGAAAGATCAGAGGAGGAGAGCAATATGGTGCAAACAATTCCTATAGCCTTGCTCGGCTAGAAGTTTTCCAAAACCTGGAGTCAAACCTGCAGCTTGTGATGTCTGCCTTAATATAGCAGTAATATTGCTGTATCCACCTGACATTTTGGATGGCAGCTGTGTAAAATTCTTACCCGTATGAGCTAAGTGCATAGCTGGTGGATGAAAGGGAAGGAGGAAGTTCCTTCTGAGTCAGCCAACACGCTCCCAGAGTTTCATCCAGAACTTGCAGGACACTGGCAGGTTTTTATGTCAGTAGATGACATTGGCCTTTGAGAGCAAGCCAATGCCTGGTACACATATTATCAACAGCACTACCACTGGATATGTCCTGCTGTCCTCATCTTTATTATCAGCATGGTTGCCAGCAGAAGACTGAAGACGTGGGATGTTTAAACCACAGGTTAAGTTAGGAAAATCCTCTCTAGTCTTAGATGGACAAGGAAAGGAAGAACAAAGCCTGCATTTCTTGTTCTGCTCCAAATCTCAAGAGCCTCGAGACAGGTTTGAGAGTGGGGTTAAGGCCCTGATTGCTCATAGGAAAAGCACCCAAGTGATGCCATTCTGGTTCATGAGTGACGTTGCTTACCTGAGCTTTTGGTTTCAGGTGATCATGGAGGAGTCTGAAGGGGAATGGGTTTTGCTTTAAAAATTTGGTTTTTTTTTTTTTGTTGCTGCACAAACTATTAATTAAGCTTGTTATTCATAGGGAGTGAGAAAAGCTTTTATGAAAGAAATGGTGTGTGTTCCTTATATATATATTATTTGATATAGTATTTGATAGTCTTCCAGTGGTTTTGGTGATCTGGTGTTTTTTTCCAGTGTTTTGGTTTTAGGTGAGGTAATGCTTGAAACATCAAATGATTTTGGTATTCATTAAAAACTGACATCCAGGCTTGCTTAGCAAGGTTGTGCTAAGCAGCCCAGGAGTTTGAAATCCCTGTATTTCATTTGCTAAAGCTAACATAAACAAGGGGGGGTATTTTTTGTAGTATTATTATATAAAGGGTTTTGATGCTTTCATCCTAGCTTAGTACCTTGCAAGGACACCTTTAAGACTAAGGAGACGAAAAATTTCTTATACTTCCTCTTGTGATGAACAGTTCCTACCTGAGCTGAGCAATGTAAGACCAGGCCCATATGGAAGGAAAGGAAAGAGGGAAATGCCTGGGAGCATCTCTTAAACAAATTAGGCATGATTTTACAAACTGAGTTTAGGAGATGGAGTGAAATGAAACTTCTGTGTACAATAAAGAGCTCTGCCTTTAAGTTATTGTCAACTGTAAATTTGTGTGTCACCCCCAGGCCTTGTGCCTGCTCACAAGCAGTTGGTACCACCATTCCTTGAGTCCAGACCTGCTCTCATCGAGCCTTAAACATGAGCAGTTGTTTGGAACTGCCATCATGACAATGAGCCGGGGCAGTTTCTTCTTCTCAGTGCTGGAGAAGACTGGAGAGCTGCAACCCTCTGGGTCTGTGCCCCCTGGCACGGGTGTGAGGTTTGGAGATTGGGTGACACTGGACAGCATCAGGGTCCCTGCATGCATCATTTGTTTTAGCCATTGATGCCGAACTGTCCATAAGGGCTCTTCCACAGCTCCAGTGGTACTGCTGAGAATTCTAATGCCCTGGGCCATACATGCACTGTGTTCCCTGAGGCACTTGGAAGTCCTTCTCCTTCCTGAAGTCACACAGGGTCATCATCCAGCCATGCAGCCCTATGTGGGGCTGGCTGGCACCCCAAGCTCAGGCACCTCAGCACATGTTCAATGTCATTTTGTTCTCTGGCCCATGTGCATCCTATGCCATGTTCCCACCTCATACATTGCCTTGCTTGGGTTATTTGGGGACAGCAGGAGTGCCAGGTAGCATATGAGGAGATACAGAGCTGAGCCCAGGACCCACAGGATGTTCTGCACTTCTCTATGCCACCATGTCCTACTCATTCACCCAACCTGGCAGCAACTGAATCCCCTTGTGGCCTCTTCTGCCTGCCCCTTTGTCTCTGGGTTGCCATGCCCTGCTCTAACAGCAGTAAGTAGCCCGGCCAGAATGGGTAACTGCTCTTCCAGGTCTCTGGATCCTTTCTGTGTTGCTGAGGTGGGCAGCCAAGGGCTGCTGAGGTAAAAGCTGTTGCCCAGTGTGAGACTCAGGCTCACATTTCTCATGGCAGTTTACACAGCTGCTTTTGACAGGGATAGTTTGCACTTGTGCATGTGCTTGGGTCTCACCAGAAAGCTTCTGCTCCCTCATCACCTCCTGGGGTAAGGGGAGTCAGCAGGGATAACAGAGTAGGGACAGCTGCTCTCTGGGGAATGGAGCAACCCATCCTTTGGCAGTATAGCCCTGTACTGGGGATCCTTGCCTTATAGTACATAGGCTTGCAGGTCCTTTAAAGAAGTGAGAAGCCATGCCAGAAGGTAAATCTCCTGGAGGCACACATCTGCCTGTAACTGCTGTGTCAAGGACAGAGTGGAGACAAACCTATGTGCTAACATCTTGATGTGCCTTGTGCAAGGTATAAAGCTACTGTCCTGTTCCATGGCCTCGGAAACCAGCCCTCAGTCGTCTTCTGCCAAAGTCAAACAGCAGCTTTGGAGGCAACATGTATTTTTTACCTTAAAATGACTTGATGTCTCACAACTTGTTATTTGACTTCAGCTGAAAAAAATGATGGGGTGGTTTCTGCAAGCACAAACCAAAGCATGCAGCTTCAAATGGATCCCAGGACCAACTCTGCCTGTGTAATTACACTGCCTATATTTAATCTCTCAGAAGTGTTTGGCAGATGCTTTAAATTTCAGATATGCAATTTCTTATGCTCTGAGGCTTGGCTACCTGTTCTTCCCCTCTCTTGCTTGCAATACATGAAGTCAAGTCAGTATACTAGGAGGGTACAGGAGTGATCACCGCTCAGTAAGTGCACATCTCTATCTATATATACCCACGAAGCCCTCCTGGAGAGGTGTGTGTGTGAGTGTGTGCATGCTACATGCAAAACATGCTCTGCCTTTATTTATTTAGGAAGGGGGTTGCTCTGGTTTCGTCTTGCCTTTCTTTAAATGATCTGAAAATCTCCCCCTGGGTTCAGGAGAATAAATATGCATGGCTTGTAATTTGTTGCAGCTCTCGCTCCCAGCTGATAGGGTGACGTGGAGTTTGGAGGCTCGCAGATTGGCTTTTTGATTTGGCTTCTTGCTGCAGTTGTGCAAACCTCGCTGGCTCCCAGGAACCCGGCTCAGCGCCTTGCCGTGCTCCGTAATGCTGGGAAGCCTGGACGGAGCCCCGGTGGTGTGAGAGCGGGAGCGGGGGAAGCCCGGCACATTCAGTGGCAATCTGGGGTACAATCCATTTTCTCTTTCCCCCTCCCTCGACCCCCGTTCATCTCCATCCTCCTCCCCCTCCGCCAGACCTCCCTTCCCTCCCCAAACTCCACCGCACGGAGCTGAAGATCAAGGCTGGTGGATTTATCAACATTTTACATCCACCCCTCACCCCCTTTTCCAGATGCACCTCCCCGCTCACCCTGACAGCTGCAAAAGAGAGCACAGGTTTTGTAGCGAGCAAGGCAACTTGGACTGACATGCAAAGGCGAACCCCCCCATGCCCGCACGCACCGTCGGTGAATCACCGGGAGATGCGATGAGCTCCCGTTAGGAACCGGAAGGATTTGTACTGGGGAGAGAGCGGAGCCCCCACCTCCCCCAGCCCGACCCTCCAAAAAAGTCAGGAAAGCAAGCAGAAGGGTAAGTAAGAGGGTGCTGCCCCTGCTCCGTAGGAGACGCTAGGCTGGCGGTTAAGTTTCCTGCTGTCAAGAGGGGCTTCACGCCTTGCATGGCGATGGCCGAGGAGCGAGGGGCTCTTCCCAGGCTCCTCTCGCAGCTGCGGAGGGCGGACACAAGGGGATTGAACGTTGCCCGGGCGCTGGCAGCTCGGTTCAATGGTCCTGTTTTCGCGGAGCCGCGGCGGCTCCGTGTGTTTGTGTGTATGTGCGTGTGTGTGTGTGTGTGTGTGTGTGTGCTGCGGGGGGAGGGCGCTGCGGGATGCATGGGTGGGTGGGTGGATGGATGGATGGATGGATGGAGGGATGGATGGATGGATGGATGGATGGAGGGATGCGTGGATGCGTGCCGGGGAGGGGGCGCCGGGCCGGGCTCTGCGGGGCCGGGGCCGGGGCCTGGAGAAGGGAGAGAAGGAGGGAGCGGGTGGTGGGAGCAGCCCTAACCTGCGGGCCCGTGTGCATCGGCCCCGGGATCCCGCCCGCCGCCGGGCGGGGGTGCCCCGGTGCGGCTCGGCTCTGTGCGGCGCGGCCCGCAGGGATGCCGGGGAGCCCGGGAGGGGGAAGGCGGCTGTGGCCGGGGCTGCCGGGAGGGGTGAGCGGGTCTCATGCAGTGCTATAAATCTCCCTTTCCCCCTCCGTTATTTTTTTTTATTTAATCTAATTGTTTTAATTTTCATCTTTTCCCGGGAGCATGCGGGGGGAGGGGGGGGGGAAGGGGGGGAAGGGCAGGGCCGCGCCGCTGTCCCAGGCAGCTGTCGCGCTCCGTCCGCCGGGCCCAGCTTGTTTATCCCGGGTGTCAAATATAGCTGCTGCGCCAGGCTCTGCTCTAAATAGGGCACGGGGCCGGTTGCGGGGCCCCCTGCAGCCCCCGACTGGCGGAGGGGGAGAAACAATACACACGCATGCACGCGTACGAGCTGACCTAAATGTTGGGTTATTCCATGCTCTTCCTCCCTCCCAGCCTTGCTTCAGGTTTTCCTTTTTTTATTTCACCTGTGTCTGAAGTACTGCTCACCCCGTGTGGGAGATGAAACCCTTACAAGTGTATTTGGGGTTTTTGGTTTTCAACTGTGATTTTAAAAATGTGAGGCTATGGCCGTTTCCCCCTTCACACACACCCCCACACCCACACCCCAAGTGGATCTGTAGTGTAATGGTTGGGCTCCTGGCTCCTCGTTTTGTTTCTGGGCTTGTTCTGGGGATTTCACCCTAGAAATCTGTTTCAGATTTAAGGTGAGACACTGGAGGAGCAGTGGGGGTGAGAGGGGGTGCCTTATGCACATCCTTCACTACTCGTGCTTATATGTATGTTCCTTTAATTCCCCACATCCATTTATAGAGCAAAAGGGTGATTTTGTTGAGCTGGTTTTTATTTCTGGAGAGGACAGGGCTGGAAGACTTAGGTAACAGTCAGCAGCATCTTTCCATTCAAGAGTACTCATCATCCCGTGCTCCCTGTAGCCTGGCTGGAGGCTCAGGAGAGGAGAGCTGGCTTTGGGGGACTGCTAAGACACAGATGCCTTGAAGATGCTCTGTAGGTTTGGTGCAGCAGGGAAAGGCGTCGCTCCCCCACGGCACAAGCATTTCTAGGGAGTCCCTAATGCTGCTCTGTCCACTGGCGTTGAAGGCGTTTGTTTACCCTGCTCATGGTTTAGCTGAGACAGTCATGCTTGGTGCTTATGTTCAGTCTCCTGTGGTCAACTGGATCAAGACTTACTTCCTGAGCAGAAATAGTGATGTTAGAAAAGAGCACATCCTGCTACTGCTGAGGGCTAGCAAGGAGCCCTCAGTTCAGCCACAAGTGTGCAATGTGATGGTAGTCAGATCTGTTGCCCCCTGTTGTAAATAAAAGGGTGTAATATCAGCCAGGGTGGGGAAGGAGAAGACTGGGATAGAGATACTGCACCTGGGTATAAGGTGCAGTACAGCAGTCTCCTCTTTTTTTTTTTTCTTTTTTTTTTTTTTTTCCCAAGCCATATATGAGCCTTGCTTTAGGAAGTGGGTGGTTCAAGCATTCCCCAAATGCCCAAGGTATGACAGGTTGTGGTAACCCCTCACTGAGGTCCTGTTGTGAGAGCAGTGGAAATGCAGGTAGGCTCCTGCTGGGCACATTGTTTCATCTCCCTGGGTCTCATTTGTATTGTTAATGATATGTTTCTACCTGTGTGAGGATTTGGTGAGGACATGGTTGCAATAACTAGTGGGTGAGAGTGTGAGAGAGGGAAGGCAGATGCATAGCCACCTGAATGCCACTGTGTGTAGCGCTTGTGCCTGGCAGAGAGATTGCCCCCTTCCTCTGCACAGCTGCCACTGACAGGATGGCACCTGGGATAGCAGATGCTGTTGGCAGGTGGGATAGTCTTTTCCATCACTCTAGGCAGTGCGGGAAGCATGATCTGCGGTGTCCTGAGCATCAGTACCCAGAACAGGGGAACGGATGGGAGCTGGATGCAGAGCATGGCCTGGGGCATGCACCACTCTGTGCCCCATAGGCTATTGTTGGGACCGTGTGAGGATGAGAGCTGCCCCGTCCCACTGGAGCAGACTTTGTTGTGGGGAGTCATGAACAGTTGTTCTGCATGGTGGTCGAAGGGCACTTGGGCCAGCTTGGTTGACTTGTAGGAAGGAAAGAGGTACGCATGGACAAATCCAGCCTCCCTGCTTCCTTTGCCTTCCCCTGGAGCTGGTGGGACTGAACTCAGATGAGGCTGGTCTGAGCATGGCAGATGCTATGACATTGCTGGTTGGACAGGTCGAGGGATTGCTAAGGGCCTGGGATGACCTGCTGCTGTGTTGTGCCTGATCCACGCGTATCACTGCTCCACAGGGTCCTCCCTGTGACAGGCATCTCTAGCCCCAAGGCAGGGAAGTGCCATAACGGAGTGTGTCAGCACTTTTTGTTACAAACCCAGTTAAGATGTATTCCCTCTGCCAATATTTTCAAGTGAAGCACTATATAGATAAATGGTCTGTCTGTCAGGTTTTTGTTTGCTTGTTTTAAACAAACAGCATCAGTCTCCTCCCCTAAGCTTCCCCAATGACCAAGTGGCGTTGACAAATAGTTCCTTGTTCTTTGTTGCTATTGCGTTTCAGATGCCTTTCATGTGCTTCAGCAGTTAAAAAAAAAGCTTTGATTGCTGGCCAAAAATTTTATCTTTTTTTTTTTTTTTTAACTCAGGTAGTAATATCTGATTCTATGTTAAAAAAAAAAAAAAAAGAAAACAAAAGCCAATGAAGGAAATTAAATTACACAGATAAAAACATCTTCTTAATAGGGAGAAAAATATCTCTGAAGCCCGGAAATTGATAGTTGTGACACTCTGTCTACCATCACCCACTGTGTTTAGGTATTGTGGCATAGATTAATACAATTGTTGATTTGCTGTTTAGATAATGGAAACTCCTAAAAGCATCAGCCTGGTTGGGGGCCCAAGTTTCAAATGTCTAATAAATTATAGTCTTTGTCCTGGAGTCTTCCATGCATTGAAAGATACACGAGATCACAAGCTGTTCTCAGGGCAACCTTAAAACACCTCTGTGCTTCTGAGAGTGTGATTCTGTATTGGCTGATTTCAGTGATGGTGGGGCTGTGGGGTTTGGGGTGAAGAGCTCACTGTTCTTGCTTCACCAGGATGAAATCCAGGAGCCACCTCACATGATTCCTCCTGTAGGCTCAGTGGGCTGCTACACCACTTGGGGACTAACATAATACAGGCGGTAGTTGGTTTCCCTCCTTCCCCTCTGCTCTTTCTGCCTTCGTGCTTTAAACCACGGGCCGTGGCTGAGGGCAGTCACAGGTCTGTGTGTGAAGTTCAGCACCGTGGCCTCCCGGTCTCCCCTCCAGGCAGTTCTGACACACGGTTTTGCAGGCATAGCAAGACATTAGGTGGCAGGGATGAGTCATGTCATCCTGAAGGTACTACCCCCCTCCTATCTTGTCATGACAGTGTCACAATGAGAAGACCCAGATGCCATTGTTCCTGTGGTACAGCATCATGAAGTAATTACCTCACCCCATAAGGCGCATTTATAAGCAGGTGATGATCATGCCCCCATGCTCCTTCAGCTCTCAGTTTTCTGGCAATTCTGTCTTTAAATCCGCTTGCTGGAGCCTTTGATCACACAGCTGAGCTGTCGTTGATGTCTCTTGACAGTTGACATCATGGGAGAGAGGGGTGCTTAGGGCTCTTAACATTTCTTTTATGATAACTTGTTTTCTAATGAAATCCTCCAATGAGGATTTTCCATCATAATAAAACAAGGAGCTTTTCCAGAGCACTCTAGATTTAGGGAGAAGTTTCTGTTTCCATTCAGCATTTCCATTCAGTAGCAGATTATTTCAAGGCTGAAAAACTGGACTTGCTGTGTTTGCTGCCTTCTCTACTCTGCTGTCTTTTTACCTAAGCCTCCTAACTCAGGAGAGCAGCAGAGACAGCCAGGTCAAGAGCAATCAGAAACACTAAATATCCTGTGCTGCTGGGCATGTTTTGCAACCAGGGAAGCGTCAAAGAGTTTTAGAAGCTATAGACATATGAAACTGCATTGCCAGTGCTTTCATTGTCACCCTCTCCTAGGCTGGTACTGGGAGGCTATCTCAAAGCAAATGGAAGCACTCTCCAGCATCAACACAGAATACGGTTTTAATCAAAAGAAATGTAGTGATGTAGGTATGTACCTGTGAGAGGGCACTTACATCTGACTGCTGAGGTCATGTTGAAGGTGATATGTCCAGGAGTGAGTGGGGGCTTACAGTGTTGATAGTGCCAAGCGCCCTGCAGATGTGTCTGCATGCTGCATGATGGTGAAAGCTGGCTTCCTTCCCGAGGGACACAGCTTCCCAAACCCAAACTGGAGTAATGATCTGTGTGAAGAGGCTGTCCTTTTGCCCTCCATACTGTTTGCTCTCAAGAAACTTTGGTTTGGGACATTGAGGCCTGGGTGTCACCTTGAGATGGACCTTCTTTG